CATCCTCCTCCACCCCTCCACCACATCCCATTGTATTTGGCTCATCTGTGGGTTAAGAGACAATTAGGGCTCTTAACTTCCTTTCAATGGAAAGAAAACCAATTATTTCTCAACCAACTCCAGGCACTGTGGGCCTTAAATAATTGAAAAGATTTTACTACTAACTGTTCCCTCTGGCACTTTTCAAAAAGCCCTCCAACAATGCCCAAACACTGTTCTGCAAAGAAGCACAAAGAAAAAAATCCATGGTTCTTGAAATCGGTAATTATCGCATTCTGAAAATACTATGTCATGGTTTGACTTGATGAAATCTTGTTAAAATGTGGTTTGACAATTATAATTTGCTCAAGACAGGCTCCTATTCAAATGGAAGGCTAAAGTAATTGTATAGCTGAGCTTCTCAATGATTAAAGGTTGTCAGTGAATTTTTTAATTATCATTTCTGTATGCCAAAGGATTCACTGCTTTGCTTTCTGTCATAATGTTCCCTTCCATTTTTGTGGACAGATGTATGTATGCACGGATGAACTTTGGATCTTAATAATAAAAACACTCTGTACTCTTCCACACTTTCCCTTAAAGGGGTCTGGCCCTAGACTCAAAACCACAGTTTATGCCTGGTGGTCCAGCCAGTCCACCAGGTTCTTCAGGGGCCCCTCTCACACCCCCTCCCCAACCCCAGCACTTTAGGAAGTGGCTTTGCTGAACCTTCTGCCTTTGGTACTTCTGGGCCCAAGAATTGACCTTTAGACCCTCAGAATTGCTTACTGTATTCCCTACTGAAAAAAAAAAGGAAATGGTACAGTAAGGAGTGAGCAGTACAGTGAGTACAGCAGGTAGGGTGCTTGCCTTGCACAAAGTCAACCCAGTTTCCATTCCTAGCAGTGATATGGTCCCCTGAGACCCACTGGAGTGATCTCTGAGCACAGATCCAAGAGTAAGCCCTGAGCATTACTGGGTGTACTCAGGTACAAAAATCAAAACAACAACAAAAATAATACAAATCTTCTTGAAAATATCTTGATGCTTGGGCCGAGCCTCACCCCCGAGTGAATCTCCAGAAAAACCCAGGCATGCAAGACTTTGAGATTAAGAACTCTGGGTTCAACAGGACCGGGAATGAAGATTCTCTGACAGTATCCCTCCCTCCTCCCACCAACGCTGTCTCCAGCAACTTAGCAGTCACGCCCATAAGCCACCCCGGCTGGCACCAGATAATCTCATCATCAGCCACCATCCAGATCACACATCCTTCTCGCCATAACCATGCCGATGAACGCTGCATCAGGCTGTTTCACTAGGGGTGCCTCAGAGGGGGGATGGGTGAGACCCCCTCCCCATCCAATTTTCCTGAACCTCGCCACACTTCACAGGACACACCCTACCCATACTCCAAGAGTACCACACCACATTTGATGGGATTCATAGTACGAGGCAACCAACTTTAGAGGGAAATATTATATTATTTCGGTTCTGCTTTGGGGCAGGGATTAGGGTTCGGGATGGAAACACCCAAAATAGGGTGGTGGGAAGGTGTATGGTGGTATTGGAATAGTAAATGTAATCAAATATGGCAAAATATTTTATGAAATAAAAAATTAATAAAAATAGAAAATATGTTGATGAACAAGAAAACTATTGCATGGAACCAACTTGTCAGGTGCACCTCGTTTCCCAGTGCTGGTTCCCCAAACTGAAAATGAGGTTCTAAGGTACTGGCTTAAGAGCAGAACTGAATGTTCCACTTTCCAAACAGTGATGGAGAGAGCATGAAGGGTGAATGATGCAGAATTCTCAGACAGAGCAACAGGCTAACACCCCACTTCCCCTACACTCCCATGGGATCAGGAAAATCCAGAGTTACAGAAAGCACCAGAGGTCAAATGACCCTCTTCCTTCAGTGAATCAATTGTGAGGAAATACCGGCGGAAACTACAAATTGGTCGAATGATTTGCTGCACTCATGGTAGATGTTGAATGACTCATTGATATGCTGTAGTCATGGTAGATGAAGATTCATATGAGGAGCTATTTCAAATTTTAATTTTCCCAATCTAGAAGTTAAATAATCACTACTGGACTGGAATGCAAAGGAATTGGGAGAATTGCTAAGGGTTTCACAACCAGGACCTGGTTCATCTACCTGTGAAACTGTTTGGGAATCACAAACAAACAATTCAATTGATTTTTTTATTCAGTTTGTTTGGGGACCACACCTGGCAGCAGTGCTCAGGACTGACTCCTGGCTCTGAACTCAGGAATCAGTCCTTGGGCAGGTAGGACCATGTTCGATCCCCTGCACCCCACCTTGCCCTGAACACCACCAGGAGTAATTCTTCAGTGCAGAGCCAGGAGAAACCCCTGAGCACTGCTGGGTATGACCCTCCACCCAAAAATTAATTAATTAAAAAAATTCTTAAAAAAAGGAATCACTCCTTGTGGGTCTGGGGTAGTGCCAGTAATCAAACCTGGGCCAGCAGCATGCACGGTAAGGGTCCTACTCACTATATTATCTCTCCAGCCCCCATATCAAATTATTTTGAGCATCACCTAACATTATTGATGTTGGAGACAATAATTATTATTATTATTTTAAATCTGGAGCTACTATTATCGCTGAAAACAGGTGAGAGCATGCAGGGGACTCCTGGGGCCATGGGCAGGAATGGGCTGAGCAGAAGTGATTGAATACTGGGTTAGAAAATCAGGAGGCTGACCTGGGATCCTGGCTCTGTCATAGACCAGCTGTGCATTTAGGAGAAGGGTTCTGGAATTTTCTGTCTCTCTCTTTCATCAAACAACAAAACAGGAAGTCAGAAATTTTTCCAAAAGAATCCCTCCTGCATGGCTTGCGGTTCATCTACCTTGGCACCAACTATGGGAATCACTGTAGAATGACTTCAGAACCCAAGAGAACTGCTGGACTGGCATCTTAGTACAGGAACCTCCCAGAAGGCTGCTTCAGTGGGCCCCGCAAAGGGAGTAATGGGGTGGGGGCACAGTAACTGAGCTCTCTCTGCTTTCCAGATTCTCCTCCAGGGAGGAGAAATTTGTTATTTAGTAACTTCCTTGTTTAAAGTGCCTCCGTTTCCACATCCTACAGCACCCTTTCCTTATTTTTACACAGAAATGTTGACAAACTTGTCCCCGAATGTCACAAGGAGGCTAAAATAGTTCTGATTGGATATCACCATAAAACAATAATCCCTGAACTAAAAACAGTAATGTGGGGTCTGAGTAGTAGTACAGCAAGCAGGGTGTTTACCTCAGATGCTGCTGACCTGGGTATGATTCCCAGATCCCTTATGGGAACCAAGAGTAATCCCGGAGGGGTTGGAGCGATAGCACAGTGGGTAAGGCATTTGCCTTGCACACAGCCGACCTAGTTTCAATTCCCAGCATCCCATGTGGTCCCCCGAGCACCGCCAGCAGTAATTCCTGAGTGCATGATCCAGGAATAACCCCTGTGCATTACCGGGTGTGACCCAAAAAGCAAGCACTGTAGCACTGTCCTCCTATTGTCCATCGATTTGCTCCAGTGGGCCCAGTACATTGTGAGACTTGTTCTTACTGTGTTTGACATATCGAATACGTCAGGGGGAGCTTGCCAGGCTTTGCTGTGCAGGCGAGATACTCTCGGTAGCTTACCGGGCTCTCCGAGAGAGATGGGGGAATCCAACCCGGGTCGGCCGCGTGCAAGGCAAATGCCCTACCCGCTGTGCTATCGTTCCAGCCCAAAAAGAAGGAGAAAAAAAAGAGAGAGAGAGAGCAATCCATGAGCACTGCCAGCACTGTGATTGCCCAACAAAATAAAAACAAACAACAACAATATAAAAGCGTGAACATACTCCCTTCCCACCCTGCTTCCTCACCTGTTGGATCATTGGGGAGTGCCACCTGCACTCCTTATAAAGGAAGTGATGGGATTATCTCCTACCTTCAACCCACTCCTACTTGGGCAGAAGGTCTGCACACCTGTACAAGGTCACAGATGTTCAAGAAGGAGCGAGATCAAGTGTCATGGTCTCATCCCTGCTCTCCCTCAGCTTCCGTCCTAGCCTGCTGGGAAAGCGAGCTGTATCTAATGCTGTTGTCAAGTGCATCTGACCGCATATTGCTGATGGGCATTTGGAGTTCTTTCAGCTTGGGCTCTTACCCATCATGCTGCTAGGATGAAGCTTGCTCTGACCTGTGCATCCTCCCTGTAGGCAGCTCCTTGGCAGCTGAGGGATGCCAAGATCACAAAGCTAGACTCTCCTGTTCCTGCCTAGAGGCTTCATTTCACGCTCAGAGAGGGACGACAGATGCAGTGTCAGTTCATCCAGATGGGGTGTGAACTGGCATAGCCACTTCTTCTCCGCGGGGATCCAACTCACTAGACCCAGTGCTGTTCACTGCAAGCGCCAACAGCGCCCTACCCCTGTGCTGCTCTCTCCCAACTCACACTTTGTCCTAGGATCAACCAACTCATCTCAATCTTCCCATTTCATTCTTCTTGTCCAAAAGTTTTCTTGGTAATGATGGTGGTGGGGGTGCTGGCGACCAGGAGCACCTCTCCTCGCTCCCCCGGGAGCTTAAGGAGGGGGCAGAGAGTGCCAGGGATGGAACCCAGAACCAAACAAACACCCGCCTGGCACATGTTCCTTCCCCAATTGATCCCCATCCTCAGCCCCTTCTCTGTCAAGACTAGACCTGCAGAAATGCACCTGCATCTTTCAGGCCCAGGGTTCGGAGCACTTTAGGAGAGCCCTGACAGGCCTTGTGACCTGGGACTTTGCAGAGGTCAAGGCCGACCCAGCAGCCCCGCCTCTACCTCCAGAGCGCGCGCGCTCCGCCCCAGTCCCGTAGGCGGCGGCGGGAGGAAGGGCGGGGGCGTGTCCAGAGGCGGGGCGCGGGCGCGCTCCTCGCGCGCGGATTGGCTCTGCCTCGGCCTGGCCCCGCCCCCGCCGCCGCGCCGCCCGCCCCAGCGGAAGGGCGAACTCGCCTGCGTGTGGGGGGGACCCGGACTGCGGGCGGGGATGGCGGCGGACGGGACAGCTCCGGGCGGCGACGGGCTCTGCACGGACCCCCGGCTGGACCAGGAGGTCACCCGGTGGCTTCGATGGGACAAGGTGAGGGCGACCGAGGCGCCGCGCCCCCTTCCCGCGCTGCGCGCTCCCGCGCCTCCGGGGTCGTGCGTGCCGGAGGCCGCCCGGGAGAGGCTGCAGGTTTTGCAGGTTTGCGAGTTGTGCATGGGAAGGTGGCCCCCCGGGTCGGAACCGGCGATCGGGCCGCGGGGGCTGCGCCACGCCCGGGCATCCGCCTGGCACTCTGGCTGCCGGCGCGCCCCCTGCCACCAAGACCCCCGCTTGCTTCCCGGCCGTGCCTTTGACGCCCGGGGGGTCTTTGCGGGGCGGCGTGCCCACCCACCCCTCCCGGGTGCGCGGGGACCAGAACTAGCTGCCCTCCTCCTGGCCTGCCAGTTTCTCTCTTGGGCTGCGATGTGAGAAGCCCCTGGAGGACGACCACCCTGGTGTCGCTTCGCGTCTCCCCCTCTCCGGGTGCCAGGAGGGGACGCGGGGCCCAGCGCCCCCTCCGAGTCCAGCCGCCCGCCGCCCACCGGTCCCCCCTCTCGGCCGCGCCCTCTGCCTTGTTTCCCCCAGAACCTTCTTCCCTCTGCTCCCTGCTGCTGCTGAACTCGTTTCTCCTCTTCCTGCCGGGTGTTCCGGGTTTGAACTGAAATGGGCTTTACCCGGAGAGGCTGCGCTAGCGCCCAAGAGTAAGTCATTTCTCTCTTCCTTTCTTCCTTCCTTCATCTCTGTTCAAAAGCGATTTGTCCAAAAGCTCCAACCAGAACTGGTCTGCAGGTTTGCTGCTTTTAACGTCTGCCCCCTGGCCGGGGCTGATTTCACAGGACCAGAGAGGTGCCTGGCGCTTGGTTTAATGCTCCGCTGTTCTGCTTTGAAATGTTTAACAAATGGGGTGGGGGGGAGCGGGGTGGAGGGGGTCTCTATTTTCATCCTGAACCGCCCCGCAGTTGGGAGATTATCTAAACCCTGTCTAACATCCTGGGATGATCGTGCACTCACAGCAGATACTGAAACTGTCTGTTGAATGAATGAAAAAAAAATTGGATCCCTCCCATAAGGGTGCTGGTGGTCCTCTCCCCACCCTCTACCCTCATAAGAGAAATTCCACGGTTACATAGGTGTATGCAAGGGCCTTAGGTGCCTAACCCTCCTCCCTGCCCCCAGCCTTCCCACACTTCAAATTGGGTAGGGCAGGAGAATGTTTCCCTCTCTGACAACTTAGTAAATGGCAGTGGGTAGAGTTCTTTGAAGTCCTAACTTCCTACAGTTCCCCAGGGAGGAAATTAACTCCCAGTTGCCTGCAGTGTTCTCTGTCTGATTGGGGAAGCTAGGGCCACACCCCCTGAAGTGGAGGAGGTAGGGGCAGTTCCTCTGTTTTTTACTTTGTCCTGTCTACCACTCCTCTTGCCTTCTCTCTGCTTGTTCTCTGGTTTTGAGACAGGCAGCAAATGGGTAACTGCTTGCCTGCCCAGAGCTTTGCAGCGATCTGCTCCCGGGCTGGGAGGTGTTCCCTGTGCTCTCTGCAGACCTGTCTTCACCAGCTCTGCTCATGCCCATCAGCTCCTTGTGACCTTTGCTGTCCTCTTGGCTGCCTTATCATGCTGACCCTGTTCCTTCCACCCAGGCAATTTGTCTTTTATTGCTATCAAAGGCCAATTGTCAGATTGATACCGAGACCGCAAGAATCCTGGGTATCGAGTGTGACTGTGAAGTTGTCTGTTTTCTTACTCACTCAGCACCCTGTTTTAAACTTGGGTGGAGGGAGTGGGAAACATTTGTTGTTGTCAGTTTGAGACCTAAGCCCTTTCTTCAAGGCACCTGAAAATCTGATTGGTCAACAGGTAACCCAGATGTGTGTGTGTGTATGTGTGTGTGTGTGTGTATTTATGTATTAAACATACACAATGTAGGTTAGAATTATTGTGGCTTTTAAAGAAAAATATTTCTGCTTTTTCATTCTCTCATTTACCTCACAGCATTGGATGTTTCTATTTTGCAGAATCCTTTAACCTCGGAGTTAGTGAAACAGCTCATTGCTGACGATAACAAGGAAGAACTCCAGAAATGTTTTGGGACTCGGATGGAGTTTGGGACAGCCGGCCTGCGAGCTGCTATGGGACCAGGAATTTCGCAGATGAACGACTTGACCATCATACAGACCACACAGGTAACCTTAGGATTCTTAGCTATATGAAAAACATGTTGCCAGTGTTCAAGGGTAAACCAAGGTATAGTGATAGTTTTAAAAGACTTTTATTAGACACAGATTTATTGGAATCGCACATGTGGCCGCGCGACATCTTATTATCTTATTCTTACTTTGGACAAACTGGCAGGCTACTGAATATAACCTGCCCACACAGCAGAGTCTGGTAAACTCCTCGTGGCATACCCAATATGACAAAAACCAGTAACAATGATGGGTCTCATTCTCCTAACCCTGAAAGAGCCTTGAATATGGCACTTTTTAAAAAATCTCAGGGCTAGGATGAAGGAGACGTTACCAGGGCCTGCTCGAGGCAATTGACGAACAACAGGATGGTCCTGATCGTGATCGCAAGTTATTGGAATCAGGCTGTCTCAAGCCACCAGTGCTTAGAAGCGCTTCCCTGGTAGAATCCAGGGGAGAGACCTAGAAAGAAGAGATAGGGGCAGGGAAGTAGTCTGATTGGCTGTGGTGTCAGCGGGTGACTTATTTGGGGAGACCTAGTTGTCTGTGAATGTCTGTTCTTAGGCTTTATTTAATTGAGTTACATTGATTTACAAAGTTGTTCATGATAAAATTTTAGGCATGCAGTATTCCAAATGTTCCAACACCATCCCACCCACCACCAGTGTCAACTTCCCTTCAGCAGGGTCCTTAGGTTCCCTCCCACCCTGTGCCTGTGCCCCCGACAAACACATGTGTAGGCTTGGTTATTGTAGGTTGGGACTCCTGGTTCAGTACTCAAGGCCCTCTGGGTTAAAGACATACAAACACCTCACCGCTACCCCACCAGTGTCCCTGAGGCCCCTACCCTGCCACTCTTATCTCTCATCTTCCCTTCTCGGTCTCATTCCTTCGCTGTCCTCACTTCTCTGATCTAGGGCTGAGGGTTCGCCCCCTTCCATTCCCTTGTCCAGTTAAGTGAGGCCATCTGGTCTTTGTTCCTTCTGAAGTTATCCTTCTGACTCACTTCACTTAACACGAAAACCTCCGGTGCCACCCACATGGCAGTGAATTGCATGGATTTGTCATGCTTTGCGGCTGCACACCACACACCTGCATTCTCCACGCATCTGTTTGGGGGCACCTGGGTTGACTCCACATCCTGGCTGTTTTTAATGAGTGCAGCATGGTTGCCCAGTGGTTTGTGTGTGTGTAGTTAGTATTATTAATGATCTAGAGCCCTGCCAAGAATGATCCCTGCACCCACCCAGATGTCACCTCTCCCCAAACAAAGCAAAAACATAAATAAATATTGCTTTAATTCTGGGAAGTGACTAATTATGATTACAGGTATTTTGTAACTCAATAATGGTAACTTTCATTTCTTTGTTTTGTTTTTTGAGCCATACCCTGCCTTGCCCAGGGTTTGCTCTTGTTGTCTTTGTGCTAGGGAAGGCCCTCATCCTCTGTACTATCTCTCTGGTAGCCCGCTAGCTTAAAACATCTCAGGCTTAGGTTTGGGTTTGCTAAAGTGGACACTAAGGTCTAAGATTCATTTCAAGGGCCTCTTTTGTTTTTCATTAATATAACCACAGGCTCCGTTTGTCCTGGGCAGACTCATTAATTCTAATTAGTACCCTGTCCCGGGTTGGCCAGAGGGAACCAGTCATTCTTTTCCTCCCTCCTGTAAGGTTCTTGCAGTTGGTGGAACTTGTTTCCGAGCACGGCCCTTGGCAGTGGGTCCGCAGCAGAGGTACAGTAGTGACTAAACGGACTAAAACGAACGGCCCCTCATGGAGCTTTCCTTCCGGTGCAAATCCACCAACTCAGCTGACTTTTATCATCTTGTTGTTTTTGATAGGGTTGTACAAGCAGAGATAAGCTCTTTGAACTTTCAGAATAACCAAGAGCCAATTCCATTTTATTTGAGTTGCTAATCTAGGTGAAAATTGTTGCCAAGTTTCCTTGCCTTCATTTCTGAATTTTGTTCTCAACACTGGCCCAGACTTTAAGGATTCAAACATGAAGCATCTGACAAAAACAAAAAAGAGTTGCCGCGGAGGATCAAAAGTTCTGTTTACAGAAGAAATAAAATGCAACAGATTATTCTGTTTCTTCTACTACTTAGATTTGCCAAATATGCACAATGATTTGGGGCTAAAGAGATAGAACAGGGGTTAGGCACTGACCTCGCACCTGGCTTTACCCCCAGGTTTGATCCCTGGCACGACATCTGGTCCCCTGAGCCCTGCCAAGAATGATCCCTGAGCACAGAGCCAGGAGTAAGCCCTGAGTCCGGCCAGGTGTTACTCATCCCCCCCCCCCCAACAAAAAAATGAAACAAAAATGAAGATTGCTTTAATTCTGGGAGAAAAGTCAGGAAAATGACTAATTATGATTACAGTTATTGTATAGGAACCTGGTAGCATAAAAGACAGAGTTGGCATTCCCTGGCAAACCCCTACTAAGGACCGTTTCCATGGAAACCCCTGGCAGGGACTTAAGTTCCTGTTAAGTCATGGACTTCCTGAGATCAGCAGGAGGGGAGGAAGGCTGAGAAACTATGCCCACGTAACAGTTTTTTTTCTTTTTCATGGAAAAGAAAAGAGCATTCTATGTTGGCACTGCTCATCTGCAAAGTACTTATTTGAGCCTGGGCTTGGTCAGAAATGAAAAGTGCATGGAGGGGCTGGAGTGACAGTCCAGCGGATAGGGCAGCACTTGCTTTGCCCGCTGCTATCAAGTAAACTCTTATCAAAATGAAGAGTTCCAGGCTAAGGAGGGAGCCCACAGGATTACAGCACAACTTTGCATGCAGGGGTCCCAGGTTCGATCCCTGAAACTTCCTGCCCCCCCTGAGCACTACCAGATGTGGCCTCAAAACAAAAAATAATACAAATAAAGCTACATTTTTTTAAGTAATGAAATTATGTCTATCATAAGGCTTCCAGAGTGAAGTAGTAATCATTAATTATCATTATTACCCAATCAACCAGAATTCTCTTTGAACTGTCATAAAACCTATTTCATCCACTAATCTCAACCTATTAAATTCAAAGTTCACTGGTTTTTAATCTTCCTTATTTCATACTGAGGTGACGTCACTGCACCTGCCAAAATGGGTGCATTTTATGTTCCTTCACGTCTGGGTGAGCATGGCCCCATTTGCGTGAAAAACTGTACCCGGCTGTAGACTGATGGATAGACGTCCTTTGCAAGGCCTCTGCCTGGCAGACAGCAGTTTCAGACAAATGGGTTTAGATTTGCTCATTATCAAAATCTTACCAAATAGGTTTTTTTGACCTGCTAAGGGTGAAGCTGGCAGAAATGTCTGAAAATGCTTTCCTGTCTGTAACATTTGAAATAATGTTAAGGGAGATCTTTTCCTTAAAGATCACTTCTTTAGTTTTGAGGGAAAAGAACAATAAAAACACTCCTAAGAGCAGACACATTAGAGTTTCCCGGAGCAGGGCTGCTCAGCAGTGGACACATTTGCACTCCTGTAACCCTCATAATGGCCCTCGAGGTGGGTACTTGTTGCTACTCCTCTTTCACAGGAGGGAAACTGAGGCCCTGCACCACTAAGCGAGGTCTGCTTTGCCACGGGGCAGCAGGGAGGCATCCAAACCCATAGGTTCTGTGTGCTTTGCTTCTTTCTTAGTTTTCGGGCATGCCCTGTGAACCTGGGAGGCGTTTCCAGTGTGGTACTTGGGGCTGGCTCCCAGCGGGGCCTGGGGGACCGTGCCAGGGTCATACTCGGTCCTCACCCGTGCCGTGCAGGTGCTCCACCCCTGGGCCCCAGCCCCAGCTTCCTGTGTGCTTACCTCTCCACCCCTTTTTGTTGTGGTGGTGAAGGTAGGGGTGAGGGTGTGGGTGCACATGTGGGCTGCAGTGCTCGGGCATGCTTGCTTGAAGTATGCCAGACATGGTACCCCCTCCTTTTTTGGGGGGGCACCCCTTGCTGTGCTCAGTGCTTACTCCTAGCTCTGCACTCAGGAAACACTCCTGGTGGGCTCAGGGGACCATATGGGATGTCGGGGATCGAATCCAGAATAGCTGAGTGCAAAGCACGTGTACTGTCACTCCAGCCCCTTCATATACTTTTCACTACACTGAACCATCTCTGACCAGGGCCCACGGACAAACCCAGACCCTGAAACTTCTGTTTCCACAAGGGGGCAAGTCACTGAGCCTTAATTTTCCCATCTGCCACGTGGGGGTTCTTGGCAAAGTTGAACTGGAATGAAGAGCTAAAGATACTCCAGCATAGAGCCTGAAGCATCTAGACAGACAATCAGTCTTGCTTCTCCTTCACCACAGTGTTTTAGCACAGGGGGGTTCTTCCCCTCTCTACTGAATGAATGTTCACTTGTAGAACAGAAAAAATTTAGTCAGTTTTTGTAGCCTGTGAATATTACATGTTAAAACAAATGTATTATGTGTGTGTGCCTGTGTGTGTTTTTGTTTTATGTTTTGTTTTGTTTTTGTTTTTGTTTCGGTCGATGGGGAACTTCTAGGGATTTTGCAGATACCTGGAAAAGCAGTTCAGTGACCTGAAGCAAAGAGGTGTCGTGATCAGCTTTGATGCTCGGGCCCATCCCTCAAGCGGAGGCAACAGCAGAAGGTATTTGAGCATTCAGGGGAACACTCTGGAGTGGGTTCTAGACTTTCCTTGACTTATTTGATCTGCGGGGCTGGGGTGCAAAGGGCCCATCAGGGCTGCACGGGTAGGATCCGGACTGAGCTCAGGGCCCTGGATGCAAGGTGTGTGCTCTAGCCCTTTGAACCGTTTCCTCGGCATTGGTGGGGCTCTTCTTTTCGTTGTTTTTCTTTTTTTTTAATTTTTATTCAAGAGTCATGATTTACAAAATTACTGAGAGCTGCATTTTAGGTGCACAGTAATTCAACATTGATTTTCCCCCTTAGTGTCAGCTTCCCTCCACCAGTGTTTCCAGATTCTCTCTATTCCTCCCCCCCCCCCCCCCCCCATCCTGACAACTTGACAGGTGCATTACAAAATCTCAGTGGTTGCCGCTTAGATCTCGTGTTTAGAGAGGAGACGGACAGGGAAGGAAAGCAGTCAAGGGGGAAAGAAGAGAACGAGAAGTAATGGTGAACAGGCACCAGGGATCCTGTTATGCCAGTGATGGGAGTGAGGGGTACAGCCATATACCCAAGACACAGATTCAGCAGGACTGGAAACATGAGATCTCTGCTTTTATTTCTAATGACCATTTCTACAACATTCTGTTGTTGTTGTTCTGTCTTTTTCTGTGGTGCCGGGTTCGAACCCAGGGCCTCACAGATAAAAGGCAAGCGCTCTACCACCAAGCCACATCCCAGGACTTTACAGTTTGACCAAATACATTAGCCAGCCATATTACGTCCCTGTAGAATGATGGACACCTTCGGTTAGCAACTTTGTATAATCCTTGTTTTATATTTGGCCAAAGAAAATGAAATTAGACAATTTAAAATTTAAGACCTAAGTGGGAAAAAAGTTTTTTAGTGGCTGCCGTTTCTCCTTCCCACATTCTTTTTGCTCCCTACTCAGGCCCCAGATTCCTAAGCCCATGAATGCTCATTTTAAGCTGCATCCTTACTCTCTTCCCAGACCAAGAGCACTCTCTCTATCTTATGGAACTGTACGTAGATGATGCTGGTGATGGTGGCAGAGTAGCACTATTCACCTGCATGCCGACGACGAACTGTGCACTTACTCTCATTTGATCCACAAAACAGCCTGTAAGGAATCAGCCTTTGTCTCTCTGCCCTGAGATTATAATAGTGGAGGAGTTATAATTTAACCATAGAGAGACTGACAAACATTTTTCTCCTCTCTCCTGGCTTTGTGCTTTGTGATTGCTTCTGACAGTGCTCAGTGGAGCATGCAGTGCTAGGGCTTAATCCCAGGCCTCCCTCCCACATGCAAAGAATGTGCTCCAGCCAGAAACTTTCCTTTAAAGGGCAAATAGTAAACATCATATACTCTGCATGTTGAGTGGTGGTTGCACATGTTAGCATAAAAACATCCCTAAATTATATATAACTAAGGGCATGGTGATGTTCTAATGAAACTTTATTTACCAAAAAAAAAACCTGTAGTTTGATTGTTTAGGGGTCACAGTCAGCTGTGCTCAGCAATTACTCTTAACTTAGGGGTCACTTCTGGCTTTCTTCCGAAAACACTTGAGGTGCCAGGGATCTAACTAGGGTCGGCCGCATGCATAGAATATTCATCCCTATACTATCTCTTGGCCCATCAGTCTCTACTTTCAATCTTTTTTTTTTTCCTTTTTGGGTCACACCTGGCGGTGCTCAGGGGACCATATGGGATGCTGGGAAGTGAACCCAGGTCAGCTGTGTGCAAGGCAAAGGCCCTACCCGCTGTGCTACCACTCCAGCCCTCTACTTTTATTTATTTTTTTAAGTTTTTTTATTATTAATTTTTAAAAAATTTTTATAAGTGAAACACCATGAGGTACAGTTGTAGACTTACAAATTTTTGTGCTTGAGTTTCAGCTATACAGTGATCCAGTACCCATCCCTCCACTAGTGCCTATTCTCCACCACCAATGATCCCAGTATCCCTCCACCTCCCCAACCCCTGCCATCCCACTCCGCCTCTGTGGCAGGGCATTCCCTTTTGTTCTCTCTCTCGTTTTGGGTGTTGTAGTTTACAAAAGAGGAATTGAGTGGCAATCATGTTTGGTCTATAGTCTACTTTCAGCATGCATCTCGCATCCCGAGTGAGTCCTCCAAACATCCTTTATTTGGTGCTCCCTTCTCTATCTGAGCTTCCTTTTCCCCTAGCATGTGTGGCTGCCTCCAAGCCATGGAGCAAAATTCCTGGTACTAATCTTGGCCACTCTTGGATGTTAGTCTCCTATTTTGTTACTTTATGTTTCCCAGATGAATGCCGTCTGTCTATGTCTGTCCCTCTCTTTCTGACTCATTCACTTAGAATGATACTTTCCATGTAGTACCACTTGTATGTAACTTTCATGACTTCATCTTTTCTAACAGCTACATAGTACTCCATTGTGTAGATATACCAAAGTTTCGTTAACCAGTCATCTGTTCTCGGGCACTCGGGTTTTTCCCAGATTTTGGCTATTGTGAACAGTGCAGCAATGAACATAGTAGTACAGATTTCATTTTGACTGTACTTTTTTGCCTCTCCAGGATATATTCCCAGGAGTGGTATAGCTAGGTCAAGTGGGAGCTCAATTTCTAATTTTTTGAGAATCGTCCATACTGTTTTCCAAAAGGACCAGCCTTCTACTTTAATCATTTTAAGCAACTTTCTTTACTCACACCTCCCCTTCTCTGATGAATTTTTTAAAAAATCAATCCAGGGTGTAAGTATTTGTAGTTTTTTAGATCCGAATAATATGCAAATATTTATAATTCATGAAGAGTCTTATTCTCAGTGCTAGATACATTCATAGTGTCCTGATCTTTGCCCATCAGGAGCTTCTTAGACTGACAGGGACAAATGTGAGTCTGTGAGGAGGGAAGGAGGGCCAGAGCAAGATCTAAAGGTGGCGTCACCCCTCCATTGAACTCAGGGTGGTGGGAGCCATTTGGCCTTCAGCTGTGAGGCTCAACAAAAGAGGATTGTTTTGCCAGTAAAGCAGGAGACTGAAGCCCTCTAGAGAGATGCACAGAAGCTGTGCTTACAGCAGTGTGACAGATTGCAAGCCAGAACATGAGTTGGTCGGTTATCAGTTAAGACTCTCAGCTCTTTCAGCAGCCCCCGGGGGCTGCTCTCAAGCAGGCACAGGTCATTCATGTGGGTGACTGGGCCTGCTGGCAAATGAATTCATTTCAGGTTGACCATCTGCTTCTAGTCCACATATCCTTTGGCTGTGGTATTTTCCCTGTTGTTTACTTACCGATAAATTTAACTTTATGTGTTATGTCAGTTAACATAACTTTATGCCTTGGAGACAAAAAAAATTTCCTTAAACTTTCAGATGTTTGGGGTGGAGCAATAGCACAGCAGGTAGGGCATCTGCCTTGAATGCAGCCGACACAAGTTCGATTCCTCTGCCCCTCTTGGAGAGCCCGGCAAGCTTCCGAGAGTATCTCGCCCATATGGCAAAGCCCGGCAAGCTACCTATGATGTATTCGATATGCCAAACACAGTAACAAGTCTCACAATGTTACTGGGCCCGCTCGAGCAAATCGATGAACAACAGGAGGACAGTGACAGTGACAGTTTCAGATGTTTGAGGCTGGGGAGACAGTATAGCAGGTAGGGCACTGGCCTTGCACATGGCCAGCCCAAGTAGTATCCCCAGCACCCGATATGGTACCCTGAACTCCACCAGGAGTAATTCCTGAGTGGAGAGCCAGGTGGTCCCCTGAGCATCACTGTGTGTGGCACCCTTGGCCCCCCCCAAAAGTTTCAGATGTTATTGATTCTACGTGGGTTTGTGGTTCAGCTCTCAGAACTTTATAGGATAAAATGGAGAGGAACCAAGGATTGTTCTAGATCACTTGCAACATGTATGACACGTAGGAACTGCAACTGAGGTGTGAAAGCAATCCAAACTAAAGCATGGTGATGGACAAATGGCACCTTCTTTAAGAGCTGCTAATTGTCACGGTTCCAGAATTTTACCCAAGGGAGTATTTATTGGTTATTTAATCTTCTGATTTTAAATATATGGTGGGGGGGGGACATCAGCAGCATTCAGAACATCAGAGATTCAGAGAATACATAGAATCCTCTCCATGCCTTAGTGTCTCTTTACTAAATTAAGGTACTGAACACTTGAGAGATATTTTATGAGGTCAGGAGTAACAGCTGTGCCTTGGAGTGAATGGAGTTTGGATTTACTTCAGATTTTTATTGTTTTTGTTGCTTTGTATTTTGTTTTTGGACCACACCATGTGATGCTCAGGACTGACTCCTGGCTCTATGCTCAGGAAATTACTCCTGGTAGGCTTGGAAGAGCACTTAGGATGTCAAGGATGGAACCACGGTTGGCTGCATGCAATTCAAGAGCCCTGCCCACTGTGCTATCACCCTGTCCCCTTTTTATTGGAATTCTTTTGCTGAATTTTTAAATTTTTTTGATTACTTTCTCCTGCATAAGGGCATGGGAGGGCTCTCGATCATTCTTGTGTTCCTATCGATCCTTGGAATTTCAGCAGTCAAACTGTAGTGTAGAGATCTCTTCTGCCCAAGCAACTCACAGCAGAGTGTTCAGTGAATCTGATGCTGGAGACATGTTTAGGGAGAGAATGAATATCGATCTGGTGGTTTAATCCTAGCATGTATAATATGCTCATTAAACAGGAATTGTGCCATTTTTTGTGGGTTTTTTACCGCAGGTAGGAAGAAAGATTTGATGCCATGGTTCATGTCCTGCCCCAAGTCAGTTGCTCCAGAAGTTGAGAAAAAAAAACTGTCAAGGGTCAAACAGTGAAGTCTTTTTTGGGGGGAGGGGGTGTTTGGGTCACACCCAGCAATGTACAGGAGTTACTCCTGGCTCATGCACTAAGGAATTGCTCGGGTGACCATATGGAATGCTGGGTATCGAACCCGGGTCTGCCGTGTGCAAGACAAATGCCCCCTACCTGCTGTGCTATCCCTCCAACCCCAAACAGTGAAGCCTTTGACGGGCTGCATGGAGCCGAGAGGCACAGGATAGACACATGTGTACATGCTTATCAGTGTGCCCAGTCAGTGCCAGGCTCCGTGGTGTGTGTGCTGGACATGATGGCATTAGACCAGCTCATCTCTGTGCCTTGACATCACACCCACTGGGTAATTTTTCACTGGGGGTGCTGAGCTGTTTCTGACTCTAATCATTGGGTTGCTAACAGCACCCCACCCCCATCACAACCCAAGCTGTCTACAGACTGGGTGTCCCCCAAGTGTGGGCACAGATCTGGTTCGGCTGCCGGTTGGCCGTTGTACTGGGGTGAGTTGTCGGCTCTCTCGACTGTAGACCCGGTTCTGTTAAACAAACCCGTGGGACGGTGGAGCAACTCCGGCTTTAGTGTTCTGCCAACGTGAGTAGCTGTCAAAATGGCCATATCCTTGCTCTGGTCTCTCCGCTCCAGATCAAGAAGCAGGGAGATGCTCCTTCCTTCCCTCCTCCCTGATCCTGACGGCTCTGCTCTGCTCTCCCCTGACCCCCTGCCTCTCCAGGTTTGCCCGACTCGCCGCAACCACATTCATCACTCAGGGCGTGCCTGTCTACCTCTTTTCTGACATAACTCCAACCCCCTTTGTGGTGAGTAACCTTTGCCTTTATAGTTCCCTTTTGTGGGGTCAGGGATAAGACCTGCCTGGAGTTTGGGTTTAGTTTAGGTTTTTGGCCATGCCTGGTGCTTCTCAGGGCTCATTCCTGGCCCTGTGCTCAGGAATCCTCCTGGCAGGGCTCAGGGGACGGTACGGGGTTCCAGGGATTGGAACCTGGAATCTGTGTGCTAGGCAAGCACCCAGCCCGCTGTACAATCTCTCTGGCCCCAAGCGCTGGCGGAATTTTACAGTGATCAGTGCTGTTGGAATTGGATGATAGAAGAACTCCTGGTTCTGTGGTCATGGATAGCATGGCTCAGGGAACCATATGGGGTACCAGGGGTCCTACCTGAGTCGGCCGCCTGCAAGGCAAGCACCCTACCTATTATACTATATCTCTGCCCCTCAGTTTCAATTTTTGAAAGGCAATATTCTTTGTTTGTATTCAAGGAATATTTTCGGTAATTAGCCAAATTTCTTTCCTTTGTTTTATTTGGTTTGTAGCTCTTCCCTGCCACCTCTGTCCCCAGCTCTTATAACTAGGAGACATGTAAGAGTGAGGCCAGATGTTAAGAATCAGTTTTTAGAAAGTGGGGCTGGAGAGATGGTATAGTGGGGAGGGTGCTTGCCTTGCATGTGGCCAACCCAGGCTCAATCCGTTCCATCTCAGTGGTCCCTTGAGCGCTGCCATCAGTAATTCCAGAGTGCAGAGCCAGGAGTAACCCTTGAGTACAACTGGGTATGGTCCCCAAACGAAACCAAACCAAAACACACACATACACACACACACACACACACACACAAGCATGATTCATACACAGTTGCTTATATCAGATGGAAATGAGAGTATATAAATGCAAGCGAAGTAACTTAGGCCCAAACTCAAGGGATGTAATTCTAGCAGCCTCTGATTCTGCGTATAGTGCACTTGAGTGATACAGCGACTCCTGGAAGAAACTTCGCCTCAAATACAAGTGTCGTTTCAGTTTCATTGTTTAGCAGAAAACTTGCCACAATCTCAGACACCCTTGGTTTTCTCTGGTACAAAAATATTAGGGCTATTATTCTCATGCCAAATATGAATGAGTGTTTCATTTTTCATATGGTGTTGTCATTTTCTTTGCTCCAGGCACCTGCAGAATGTGAATAACTCCTAGGTGGACCAGTGAGCACAGTGGGCTGTTGCGGGGGTGAGGGGGACATTGGGTAGAACTGAGGATTGCTTGTGTGTGGAGAATCTCCTAGACAGCCATGGGGAGACATAGCCCTCATAGGGGTAGAAGCCTGGAGAGCCGGGAGCTCCGCAGAAGTGAGAGAGAGGACAGAGTGGGAGGTCAGTGAACAAACAGACCTAAGAAAACTCCCTTTTTAAAAATCATTTATTTAAAAATGCAAATCAAGATGATGGAGTCCTGGGGATGTGGCTCATTGGTGGAGCACATACCTCACAATAGCATTTTAAATTTTGAAAAAGCAAATGAGAAAAGGAAGAGGAGTAGATTAAGCAATGGGAAGGAAGACACTGGTCTTTTTTGTCGGGGGAGCCCACAGTCAGCTCTGCTCAGGGATCACTGCTGATGGGGCTCCGGGGACCATATGGGATGCTGGGGATAGAACCTGTGTCGGCCTCATGCAAGGCAAGCACCCTACTCACCGTACTATTGCTCCAGACCTGATACTGGATTTTTAAGCCCTATCCCAAGCAAAATTTTGAAGGAATGTGCTATGGAGAATGAGACCATTCTTTGTTTTTTTTTGCTTTTTGGGTCACACCCGGCGATGCTCAGGGGTTGGCTACTCCTGGCTCATGTACTCAGGAATTACTCCTGGCAGTGCTCGAGGGACCATATGGGATGCTGCAATTTGGGCGGCCACATACAAGGCAAACACCCTACCCACTGTGCTATCGCTCCAGCCCTGAGACTATTCTTTATTTGGAGAGTTTTCTAGCTCTGCTAGGCAGAAGACAGAATGAGAAGACAGTGGGGCCAGGGATGTGCTGAGTGATGGGGCCAAGCCTTGCATATGTATGAGGCTGTAAGTTTGATCTCCAGCATCACACATCACACACACACACACACACACACACACACACACACACACACGCATCCTCACTGTCCTGTCCTTATTAGAACACAAAATTCTCAGAATTTTGAGCAGCAACCTAGTTTCAGAGGTATCAAGGGTGAACAGGGAAGGTATGGCGCCCCACGTTGAATGATCCACGATGATATTTGTATGGCCTGTTTAGGGACAGGGAACCGAGCTGTACAGGCAGGCCACATGCAGTAGATGTGTCCAGTGACTCTTCGTCTGTTCTGCTTGACGCTCTCCTTCTTGCCTCTGATCACAGCCATACACGGTCTCCAAGTTGAAGCTCTGTGCTGGCATCATGATTACCGCCTCGCATAACCCCAAGCAGGACAACGGTTATAAGGTATTTTGGCTTTTCCCTCCACGCGTATGTCCTTTCCCAGGAATCCGAGTCCTTTACAGAGTAAGGCAGAGGGAGCCTGGGATCATTCATGCTTCCTCTCTGCCGTCCCCAGGTCTACTGGGAGAATGGGGCTCAGATCATCTCTCCTCACGACAAAGGGATCTCTCAAGCGATTGAGGGGAACCTGGAGCCATGGCCCCAGGCCTGGGACAGTTCCTGCATTGACAGCAGCCCACTGCTTCATGACCCCTGGGCGTCCATCAACAAAGACTACTTTGAAGACCTGAAAAAATACTGCTTTCACAGGTAAATCCTCCGGGGGGCGGGGGGGGGGGGGGGGGTCGGTTCATGGGTTCTGCCCATTTCTGTCCATGTTTATTCTATCTGTGCTTCGTCTGATTCTTGAGGCAGCAGAGTAGGAGTAAGTAACTTTTCTTTTGTTTGGGGGCCACACCTGGCAATACTCAAAAGTCACTCCTGGCTCTGCACTCAGGGATTACTCCTGGCGGGCGTGGGGTACCATATGGGATGCTGGGGATTGAACCTGGATCGCCAGCATGAAAGGCAAGCACCCGACCTGCTGTACTATTGCTCCAGCCCCAGTAACTTTTCCTTTTCAGCTTTTTTGGATCATACCCAGTAATGCTCAGGTGTTACTCCTGGCTCTGCACTCAGGAATTACTCTAGGCAGGGCTCAGGGGACCATATGGGAGGCCAGGAATCAATCCTGGGTCAGGTGCTGTACTGTCATTCCAGTCCTTCCCAGTAACTTTTCTTACAAATTGTTAGTCAATATTTTTTCATTGTGAGCCAGCTGAAGTGATTCACAGCTTTTCACTTACTTAAAGATTATTTTCTTCTGTTGTTTCTTTGGACACTTTGACTTAAACTTTTTGCAGTTGAGATTTTTCTCCTGGGGAAGGAAGGAAGGAAGGGAGAGAGGGAGGTTTTAACAGCATTTTAAAAATTCTTATATTACCCTTTATAATTTTTCCTTCTTATTTTGATTCCATTTCTAATTTCCTAATTAAAAATAACCCTTCATCCCTCCTTCCCTTCCTCCCTTCCTTCCTTCTTTCAACTGCTACTAAATTTTTGTGGTCATTGTGATTTTGTCTTGTGTCTTGTGATGAGGTTACTTTGATCCAAAGGTTTGCTACTGAGCTTTTCTGCCCGCCTGTGTAGGACGTGGCAGCATATTGAATTAAAGGGTCATTTGGAAGCTCATGTTGGAGGCTTGTCAGGAGGAGGCATGGGGCTAGCGTGCTGCATCCTGGTATTTGTCAGGCCCCTCTGCATACCCCTTAGAACCTGAGCTGAATTTGTTCATTGCACTTTATTTGGGGGATACCACATCTGGCAATGCTTAAGGGTTATTCCTGGCTCTGCACTCAAAAATCACTCCTCATGGTGCTCAGAGAACCAAATGGGATGCAGGGGATCAGGTCTGGGTCGGCCATGTGCCAGGCAGATTACAACCTACTTGCTGTACTATCACTCTGGCCCTTCATCTCACTTTATTTCTTTTTTATTTATTTACTTTTTTTTTGCTTTTTTGGGTCACACCTGGCGATGCCGGTGATGCACAGGTGTTACTCCGGGCTCTGTACTCAGAAGTTACTCCTGGCAGTGCTCAGGGGACCATATGGGATGCTGGGAATCGAACCTGGGTTGGCCGCGTGCAAGGCAAACGCCTGCTGTGCTATCTCTCCAGTCCCCTTCATCTCACTTTAGATGTGGAAGTTGTGTCCTAAAACAAAGCCTCCAACTCACCATATTTGCTCGATGTAACTATAGATTAAAACTTTAGACTGAGGGGCTAGAGAGATAAGCAAGCAGGTAGGGCATTTGCCTTGCACGCAGCTGACCCAGGTTTGATTCCCAGCATCGCATATGGTCCCCCGAGCACTGCCAGGAGTAATTCCTGAGTGCATGAGCCAGGAGTAAACCCTGTGCATCATTAGGTGTTACCCAAAAAGCAGAAACAAAAAACAAAAAAAGAACTTTAGACCGGAGGAAGTGAGTGTGTTTTGGCAAGAGCGTGTACGTTGTATTTCTCCTTTTTTCTTTTTCTTCCCAAGGGGGTGCCTGGGGTATCTCCTGGCCACAGCAGCAGCACCTTTTAGTATTGGGGTGGGGGGTGCTTATCGGGCCCCAAGTGTTCAGGACTCCAGGGCCCCTGGTGATGCCCAGTGGACACACACATCCTCACCCCTGTATTAATTTTGGTTGTTTCTTCTTCTCTGCTTACCTGGACCTGGGTACTGTGTCCATTCTCTTTGCAGTTGGCTACTTCTACTGGGAGCTGGATTCCTTCCTATTTTGCAGACCTTCCATCTGACTCTTTCTCACTCTGCCTCATGTCCGGTTACAGGCCTGTGAACAAGGAGACCCAGTTGAAGTTCGTGCACACGGCAGTCCACGGTGTGGGCCACACCTTTGTGCAGTCGGCCTTCCAAGCTTTCGACTTTGCTCCTCCCACGCCTGTGTCCGAACAGAAAGACCCAGACCCGGAGTTCCCCACAGTGAAATACCCAAATCCTGAAGAAGGGAAAGGCGTCTTGGTAACATTATTATTATTATTATTATTATTATTATTATTATTTTCATTATCAACCTTTTACAGTCAAAACTATTAGGGTCAAGTGTCTGGAGCCATATTGTACAGCGGGTAGCACGTTTGCCTTGCATGCGGCCAACCCAGGTTCAGTTCCCAGCATCCCATATGGTCCCTTGAGCACAGTCAGGAGTAATTCCTGAGTGCAGAGCCAAGAGTAACCCCTGTGTATCACCGGGTGTGACCCAAAAAGCACTGTAGCACTGTCCTTTCATTGTTCATTGATTTGCTCGAGCATGTCCAGTAACATTGTGAGACTTGTAACTGTGTTTGGCATATCGAATACATCACAGGGAGCTTGCCAGGCTTTCTGTGCAGGCAAGATACTCTTAGTAGCTTGCTGGGCTCTCCGAGAGGGGTGGAGGAATCGAACCCTGCTCAGCCAGGCTGGCCGCATGCAAGGCAAATGCACTACCCGCTGTGCTATCGTTCCAGCTCTGACCCCCCCCAAAAAAAAAAAAACCCTATTAGGATCAGTAAAACGGATTTTTCTGTGTTACTTTGCTGTCCCCAAACCTTTCACTGTGGCAATTCTGGGTCCCCTGTTTCTAAAATTTCAAATTAAGTGTCTTAGCACCAGAAGGTGAGAACTAGAACTGAAATGATTTTTTTTTTAAAGACCGCACCTAGCTCTGTGCTCAGGGATGACTTGTAGCAGGGCTCTGGGGACCATAAGGGATGCTGGGAATCTAACCCATGTAACCGAGGCTAGCTACCTGTAAGGCAAGTGCCCTGCTCACTATTCACTCTCTGCTGCCCCTCAAGTAAATGATTTTAAAGCTTAATTTAGTGAATGGTGCCTCCTTAATGCCACAAGATGACCACAGCAACACAAGCAGTAATGGTATAGAGCTGTATGTGAAACTATCCAGGGGGCCACTCCTATTGGGCTTTTTATTTGTTTGCTTAAAGAACATAGATTTTTAGAGAGGCTCCATCGTTTGTTTCTGAAAAGGGAGCATTCAGACAAAAAGGTTTGTGAAGCTCTGGTATAGAGATTTAGCACAGGACTTGATTTCTAAATTGCCCTCTTTCTGGTATGAAGAAGTGCTGTTTGAAATATGGTTCCTGACCCCCTTCTAAGGGTTAGAGTAACAATGATATTGAGACAGGCTGTTTGCTTTGGCCTATTCATGGGGCTGACCCCATGCGAAGGCAGGAAGTAGCCCACACATATACTGTCGGGAGTGGGAAGCCCCCGCCACCTGCTGTGGGTGCTGTCTGGGTGTTGCCATGGTCTCTCTGGCTTAGGGGATAGTATGTGAACTGCTTAGACCAGAGTAAAACACAGCCTTTGAAGACCCTTGAATGCAGATTGACGTCTAAGCACAAGACCTGGCATTGATCCCTCGCCCCACAAAATATTCTTTAGATGCAGGTGGTGGTGGTGGTGGTGGATGGGATTTGGGCCACACCAGCAGTGCTCAGGGTTTATTCCTGTTACTCGTGGCTCTGTTCTCAGGGATCACTCAGGTATGATGGTGCTTGGGGGACCATATGCAGAGCTGGGGATCAAACCCAATTTTGTTTTTGTGGATTTTGTGTGTATATATATATATATATTTTGTCATTCTGTTGCTCATCGATTTGCTCGAGCAGGTGCCAGTAATATCTCCATTCGTCCCTATCGCACGCTAGTGTAAAAAAATTTATATATATATTTATTTATATATATTTATATATAAAAATTTATAGTGTAAAAAAATTTATATATATTTATTTATATATTTATATATATAAAAATTAAATATAAATATATAAATATATTATATTATAAATTATATATAAATATATAAATTTATATATATCTCTCTCACAAAGTTGTTTATCATTTGGTTTCACTTATACGATGTTCTAATACCCGTCCCTTCACCAATGTAACTTTCCCAGCACCAATTTGAACCCACTTTTGGCTTCATTCAAGGAAAGCACCTAACCCAGTATCTGGCCCCCGAACTGAATGAATGTTTTTAAAAATTGCTTTAAAACATGATTCTTAATTGAAATCATTCTTATGCTTCCTAATCTTTTTTTTTTTTCCAGACTTTGTCTTTTGCTTTGGCTGACAAAATTGGGGCCAAAATCGTTTTAGCAAATGACCCAGATGCTGATAGACTTGCTGTGGCAGAAAAACAAGACAGGTAACAGGACCTGGGATCACCTCAGAAACAGAATATACAAAGGAGAGGAGATAGTCAGCAGTGAGGTACTTCTGGACCTGCTGAAAACAGTTCCTATTTATTCTGCAAATGGTCCCTCTTGCCCTGAACATCCTGTCACATACTTTAACAGAGCGAGATGCTGAGCTGAGAGCCGCGTGCTTGGCAGTTCTGCAGGGTCCCCTAGCCCTTGGGTTTGGAGCTGAGATGAAGATTTATTATTCCCCCTGGCTCTGGCACTGATTTTATTAAGTAAGGACTCAGTGCCTGATGAGGACAAACTACTTTGCTTGGTGCTGGTTCTGCACTTTGGTCTATGCCAAGGGTTCACCAAAGATTAAGAGATGGATCTTCAAGGAAGAGTTGTGTGGGGATTGAGCAGCCCCCAGAGGGATATGTGGCAGGTATGGACAGTGCCCGAGGTTGGTGTGATCACGGCGTTTACAGAGGTGTCAGGAGAGATGGATGGAGGTGGGAGGGGCGGGTATGGGTGTGGGAGCTATGCAATGTCCAAGCAGTTTTGCATGTCCAACAGCACATGCGACGTTTTGGAGGCCGTGGTTTTTAGATTACAGTCAGGTAGGTTTGGTCCTGTCTGTTTTTAGAAAGTTACACAAAGTGATGCATGACGAAATGTGAAATGTAAACTTCTAGCCACTTGAACTAGACAACCCTCCCTGTTTGTCCATGGCCTGACTGTATCAGGCCAAGCCTGACCTCTTGTTGATTTGGTGTGGGGCCACATCCGGTGGTGCTGGGGGCTCTTCCCAGTTCAGTGATCTGGGGAACCAGTGTGGCTGGGAATCAGGCCCTCAGCTCCAGCAGGCAGAGCACATGTTCTGGCCCTCAGTGCTCTCTGCCTGACCCCCAGACCAGATCTCAAGCAACAAGAAGCTCCCGCCTCTCGAACTGAGAATGACTGAACCGATCGGAGACTGAGATATATAAAAACTGCTGTGAACACGGGCCCTTGCCATTTCTGTTTCTGTTACCTTAAAACCAGTGGGGCGTGGAGCTAGCTCAAGTGGTAGAGCACATGCCTAGCATGGGTGAGGTCCTGGCCCTCCTGCACCCCGGCATTGCCAAGTGGAGCCCTATTTAAAAAAAAAAAGCATTGGGGCTGGAGCAGTAGCACAATGGGTAGGGCATTTGCCTTGCACGTGGCCGACCCGGGTTTGATTCCCAGCATCCCATATGGTTACCTCGAGCACCGCCAGGAGTAATTCCTGAGTGCATGAGCCAGGAGAAACCCTTGTGCATTGCTGGGTGTGACCCAAAACGCAAATAAATAAATATCAAAAGCAAAGTTTTGATGTAGATGAGTGAAAAAAGCATTATATTATCGCTGGTGCACTTGTTCTTCAAAGATCAGGTGTGTATAGGCAAACTGGCTAGAGATGGGAGCTGTTAAATTTTGCCAGGTGGCAGTTATTTAAACGAGGATTGCTACAGTAGGGCAGGAGAGGGGCTCTTGGGGCCGGAGTGCAAAACACTGGGGGCCCAGGGTCTGTCCTCAGCACCACATGGTCCTCTGGGCACTGCTGGAAGCAAGCCCTGAGCACCAAGTTGGGGATATCCCGAGCACTGCTAGATGTGGCCCAAAAATGGAAGGGAGGGACGATGTGTGGGAGGAAAGAAGAGAATGGGTCATCACAGATGGCACAGAGGGGAAGGCTCTTGCTTTGCAAGGCCCGACCCAGGTTCAGTTCCCAGAACCACATACGGCACCTCAAGCCCCAACAGGAGTGATTCCCTAAAAGCCAGGAGTAAGCTCAGCACTGCCAGATGTGTCCCCCAAACCAAAATAAGAATAAAATGAAATGTTTTTGTACAGAGAAGTAGCCGAAGGGGAGGGGAGAGGGAAGGGAGGACTGTGACTCATCGGCGGCTTTTCCTTGCAGTGGAGAGTGGAGGGTCTTCTCAGGCAATGAGCTGGGGGCCCTCTTAGGCTGGTGGCTTTTCACTTCTTGGAAGGCAAAGAACCAAGATCACAGCGCCCTCAAAGACGTATACATGTTGTCCAGCACTGTCTCCTCCAAAATCTTGCGGGCCATTGCCTTAAAGGAGGGCTTTCACTTCGAGGTGAGGGGTGTGTGTGTGTGTGTGTGTGTGTGTGTGTGTGTGTGTGTGTGTGTGTGTTGGGGGTGGAGGCAGGCTGGGGAGGGTCATTGATCTTTTCACTTCAAGGTGAGGAGGTGGGAAGGAGGTAAGGGGTGTGTGTGTGTGTGTGTGTGTTGTATGTTGGGGGTGAGGTGGGGGTGGGGAGGGTGATTGATCTTTTCAGTTGCTCTTTCCCAGGCCTAAGAAATTTCTTTCTCTTCCCGATTCCTCCTCTAGGAAACATTAACTGGCTTTAAGTGGATGGGAAACCGAGCGAAACAACTCATGGACCAGGGGAAAAATGTCTTATTTGCATTTGAAGAGGCAATTGGTAAGAAGGTGTGGGGATGAGTACAGACTCTTCATTTACAGCATGCAGATTAACAGGAGACATTTGGATTTGAACTTGGATTCTAGAGATGGGAAATCGGCAGTAGCGATGACAGTCGCTAGAGCACACGCTTTGCGTGTTGGAGGCCCTGGTTCCATCCCTAGCACCCTATGGTGCTCTAAACACCTTTGGGAGTGACCAGAGGAGCACTTTCTGAGCAGGGAGTGGCCATGAAACACAAACCCAAAGGATCAGCAGTGAAACAGCCCCATGTGGCTTGCTGGCTTCCTTGGCACAAAGAGAGCCCCAAGTCCCCCCAAACCAGTCTCTCAGATTCGTTTCAGAAATAAAAAAACCTGCCTTGATAGCTGGGCTAGAGCGATAGCACAGTGGATAGTGTTTGCCTTGCACGCGGCCAACCCAGGTGACCCGGGTTCAATTCCTCCACCCCTCTCAGAGATCCCGGCAAGCTACCGAGAGTATCTCGCCCACATGGCAAAGCCTGGCAAGGTTCCCGTGACGTATACGATATGCCAAACACAGTAACAACAAAGTCTCACAATGGAGACGTTACTGGGCCCACTCGAGCAAATCGATGAACAATGGGAGGACAGTGGTACAGTGCTACAGTGCCTTGATAGCCAGGTCATGAATGCAGGAAAGGGAATCCCCCCACGGTATTCAAAATCTAGAAACAACCCGAATGTCCAAGAACAAGTGGCTGAATAAAGAGACTCTTGTACCTAGACATGGTAGAATACTATTTGGCTAGACATGGAGGCATTTTGCAGCCATGTGGATAGAACTGGAGTCAGCCAGGAGAGGGACAGGCAGAGTGATCTCTCATGGGTGGGATATGAGGAGTCCTAGCAAGGGAACAGCAGAAGAATCTTCAAAGATTCCAAAGCACCAAAATCTAAGAGCCAGTCTATAGAACAGCTCATCAGAGCAGTGAGAAGGAGGGGGTGGCATGGGAACAGTAGGGTGGGAGGGGAGTGGTGTAGGATGATGAGGGGTATGGGGTGTGTGTGTGGTGTGTGTGTGTGTGTGTGTGTGTGTGTGTGTGTGTGTGTGATAGGAAATGGGTGCCGTAGTGGTGAGTCTGGTGTTAGAATGTTGTATGTATGAATCCACACCCTTAATGTAGAACTATAAATCAAGGTGACTAAAATTTAAAACAATAATAACAATAGGAACCAGAATGATAGACTCTCCCTTGCACGCAGACAACCCGGGTTACATCCCTAGCATCCCATATGGTTCCCTGAGCCTCCCGAGAGTGATCCCTGAGCACCAAGCCAGGAGTAAGCCCTGAGCATTGCTGAGTCTGGCCCCTGCATCCCAACGTCCCATATGGTCCCCCGAGCACCACCAGGAGTTATTCCTGAGTGCAGAGCCAGGAGTAACCCCTGAGCATTGTTGGGTATGACCCAAAAAGCGAAAAATGAAAAAAAAAAAGATTTGGGTTATTAAGTGGGATTTGGGCTGTTCCTGGAGAATGGGCATGATGTGTGGAGAGGAAGAATCTTACACATTATTCAACATCTGCTGCTGGAAGATCTGCTCTGCCCAGACATGGGTGATGGGAGGGAGGCGGCCCCACCCAGACACAAGGGAGCCTCTGGTGTGTGCTGTGAGCGCCCAGCCTAAGGGGATGGCTTGTTCTGCAGGATATATGTGCTGCCCTTTTGTTCTGGACAAGGATGGAGTCAGCGCGGCTGTCATTAGCGCAGAGCTGGCCAGCTTTCTTTCCACCAAGAACCTGAGTTTGTCTCAGCAGCTAAAGGCCATCTATGTGGAGTAAGTTCCCCGTGGACTTCATTGAAATGACCCCTTTTTTTCTAATCCATTTTTAATGGTTTATTATGTACTTGTATGTGTGATACTGATATTCTCTCTAATACCCCTACTTCAGCTATAAAGCCTATTTCTTAAAAACACAAAGTTAAAAACCACCTTTTGGGGGTCGGAGAGATGGTGCAACAACAGGTAGGGAACTTGTGTTTTTCATGGGTCACCCAGCTTCAATCCCTGGCACGCCCTATGGCCCCCTAAGTCCTGCCAGGAATAAGCCCTGAGCACCATTAGTGTGGCCCCAAAATAAATAAATTAGAGATAGAAATCACCTTTTCATGCTTAACTACTTAATAATATTTATGATTGCCGTACTCCTTAATGAATGAGACCTAATCACAGAAATGGTTAGTTAAAAGTGTGAATTTAAATATGTAGTGTCAAAAAAAAAGAAATGTGTTCATGAAACATCTAGTCAGTCATTTTTTATCAATTATTCAACTCAGCTTTAGTAGTGCAAAACAACCAAGCACAATACACAAGGTGATGGGTGGTGTGAATTTACTATGGCCCAGGAAAGCTCCCATGTGTGGGCTGAGCTGATAGCAGATTGGAGCAAACGCATTGCACGCCGGAGGCCCAGATTCAGTCTTCGTGCCACAGAGTTCTCAAGCCCTGACCCTGCTCCCCCCACACCCACCACTGCCAGGTGTGGCCCCAAAACAAACCAAGAAAACCAACTTATAACTTAGACTTATAAATGACTGCTCATCAATATATACTTAAGGCCAGATAGCAGTTTACTTTAGCAATTCCCAGGATAGGTTATTGTTCCTCTTTTTTTTTAAATTTTTTGCCCCCTAGACATCTACCTTTTAAAAAAATTATTAATTTTTTAATTGAATCACAGTGAGATACACAGTTACAAAGTTGTTCGTGATTGGATTTCAGTCATACAATGTACCAACATCCGTCCCTTCACCAGTGTACATTTCCCACCACCAATGTCCCCACTTTCCCTCCTTGTTCCTCTTTTTTCATACTAAATGATTCCTTTGAAGCGAGTTATGGTTATTTGCTTCACTTGCTTAGAATATAACGGCCAATTGATGTGCTGTGTTCAAAAGACAGAATTCTTTGTGCCTTATTATGCATGTATTTGTATTGATAGGTATGGCTACCATATAACCAAAGCTTCATATTTTATCTGTCACGATCAAAGCATCATTAAAAAGTTGTTTGAAAACCTTAGAAATTATGATGGGAAGAATAATTATCCGAAAACTTGTGGAAAATTTAAAATTTCTGGCATTCGGGACCTTACAACTGGCTATGATGATAGCCAACCTAATAAGAAGGCAGTAAGTACCATCTACTTGGAATGAAGTTTTCTATTTGACTTCAGTTGTACTTTGACATATTAAGCATGCCCTTTGTTGAAGCTGATGGCAGAGGAGTAGAGAAGCTCACGGTCCTGATCCAGCACCAAGAGTTCTCACTATATTCACCAGAGCCAGTAGCATTATTGAGTGCATAAGGAAACCAGTGCTCCAAAGGGCAGGATCTGGGGACTGCAGAGGTGGTACAGCGGTTAAGGCACTTGCCTTGCTTGTGGCTCATCTCGGTTCTATCCCTGGCATCCCATTAGGTTCCCCCAAGCCCTGCCAGATATGATCACTGAGCACAGAGCCAGGAGTAAGCCCTAAGTATAACCAAGTGTGTCCTGAAAACAAAAAGCAAATCAGAAAATCCCCGAAGTGCAGGATCTCCCGAAGGTCACACAGTGCTGATAGTGCGGTGTAATCTGCATTTTCTGACTCAGGCTGTAGCTTTTTCTCGGCAGCTGTTCTCAGACTTGTCCAAGCTTCAGAATCATTGAAAGCCTGACACAAACACCAGGAACTGATGCCTGGCTGTAATATTTATGACTAGGTAGATCTGAGTGGAGACCAAAAGCTTACAGTTCTAGCAAGTTTCCAGTGGATACCGATGTTAAGGTCTGACTCTTAGAACCGTGTTTGCTTACCTCTGCTCTGAAAGCACTGATGCTGTAAGACCCCCATTTGCATCCTGTACTCCCCCCCCCCCCCCACTCTTGGAATCCAAGAAGGCTCCAAGATGACAGAAGATTATGGCTAAGACCACTGGTAAGGGAAAGAGAGTAAGAGATGTTAGACATGTTCTTTGACCTTTATCTCATTATATTTTTTTACTTTTGTCAGTACACGTATGTTTTTAAAAGACAACTAGTATGGAACTGGAGCTATAGTATGAGACAGTAGAGCACTTACCTTGCTTTCAGCTGACCCTAGTTTATCCCCACACTGCATATTGTCCCCCAAGCCAACCAGGAGTGATCCCTGAGCACAGAGCCAGGAGGAAGCCCTAAACTAGGTGGTGTGGCCTCCAATTAATTTTTTAATTTTCCTTTTCTATATTAAATACTGGTTTTTGAATTTTTTTTTAATCTTTCTTATCCAGGGGAAATGTTAGTTTGGGGGAAATATCTTACTACTATTTAAAAGTGTCATGTGTAAATTCCTTCCTAGATCCTTCCAACTAGTAAGAGCAGCCAAATGATCACCTTCACCTTTGCCAATGGAGGTGTGGCTACCATTCGGACCAGTGGAACAGAGCCCAAAATCAAGTACTATTCGGAGCTGTGTGCACCCCCTGGAAACAGGTACGGACACCGTGGGCCCAACATTTGTTCCCTAACTCCCTAGTTAGTACTGTGGTGACACATTCGCTGAGTAACATATATCATCTGTCCAGATACCTAGTTTAGCAGAACTGGGAGTGAGGCTTAGCTAGAGAGTACATGACTTGTGAATGAAGCCCTGGATTCAGCACCATCCTCCCAAAAAGAGATCCAGAAGAAACGGAGAGATTGTACAGAGATTAAGGCACTTGCCCAGCATACAGCTGTAACCCTGGTTCAAATCCCAGCACTGCAGAGGTCCCCTGACACTGCCAAGTGTGGCTCTGAAGCATCACAGGGTGTGCCCAAAAAACAAATGGGAGAATGAGATCATATAGATACTTTAATTGGGAATATTGTTTCAGAACTTAAAGAAATATTGTGATGTGAATGGTTGCTTAAAGCATCCAGGGGCAAGAATGTAGAGATCCTAATTAATTTCATAATTGTTTCTTAACTTTCAGTGGGAAAATTTCATTGTTAATTTCAGGGATAGTTAAGGAAGGAGGGAAGGAAGGAAGGAAGGAAGGAAGGAAGGAAGGAAGGAAGGAAGGAAGGAAGGAAGGAAGGAAGGAAAAGAAAGAGAGAGAGAGAGAAAGAAAGGAAGGAAAGAAAGAAAGAAAGAAAGAAAGAAAGAAAGAAAGAAAGAAAGAAAGAAAGAATCTTTTTCAGGCCAGAGAAATAGTATTAGCACTTCACTTGCATACAACCCTGCTCATCAAATCACTTTGGTTGGGGTAAATGTTTCTAGGTTTTGAGGTTCTGTTTTGGTGGTGCTGGGATAGAATCCAGAGATTATACCTACAAAGCACATACTGTGCCCTTCCACCGAGCCACGTTCCCACCCAAACATAGATGTCTTTAGGGTTGCCCAACTGTGGATTTTGGAAAATGTCAAACCAGAGATTGGTTGAACAATAAAGCGAGGGAGGACTACCCACGTGTTCTTCACCTAGACCCAGGGTTGGCTTGCCATTTCCCTCAAGAGCTCACGAGTGTGGGCTGGAGTGTTTGTGGGGTTATGTGATCCCTGTCACCTCTATTCTGCTTTGCTGCGGCAGCAGAAAAGCAGGCACAGACACAAAGAAACAGTCTGGCCATATCCACTGGAATTTTGCTCCTAAACCCAGGCCTCAGGGAGCTGGGTCACCTACCCCCACCAAAACACAGCCCTTGAGAGATTTTGTAAGAAGTGTTCCCTCTCTCTGTATCTGTTAACGATGGGGTATTCCGTCCCCACCCTGAACTATTTGAAAGTAAGTCACAGATTTATTTTTCCTCTCTTAAGAACAAGGACACTCCCTTACTGTCTCAAATTTAAATACATATATAATTATCTTACCCAGGAGCGAGAGTTTTAATAGAGAAAAATCAGCTGGTTTAAATATAGATATAATATATGTGTATTTTACATATGTATGTGATAAATAATAGATGTAAAATATCTCTAAATAGTTATATGCACATACACATATATGTGAGTTTAGATTTAAGTGTGTTAAAAAAAAAGTTACTAGTGATGTGCCTTCTGATAACTGTTATTTTCTTTGTCACGTTTTGTGGAGAAGGGGGAAAAAAAACAAAGACCTGTGATTCATATGAGCAATGAAGCATAATTACTTTATGTGTTACCAAAGAGTATAAAAATAATTATCATTATAGCTACATTAATTCAGGTTTGTGGGCCAGGTTCTGTGCTAATTGCTTTATATAATTTGCCCTAATCTAAACAGTAACTCTCTGGAGAAGGTAAAAGAGTTATCCCAATTTGACAGATGAGGAATCTGGGCTTTGGGGAGGCTAAGCCTCTTGGCCTAGGGGCACACAGCGGGTTAGTGGGGAGGGAGGGGGGCAAGAATTAATGCCCATCATAAAATGGATGGCTTTAGTTACACTGTTTCACCGTTACAATGTTAAAAAAAAAAACTATCTCAGCTAATTACAAGGCCTGCCATTTCTTTCACAATTCAACAATTCAATTTGCTTGCTGCTGTTGGTGGAATGAAGCCTTGAGAGTTCTGAACTTAAGAATTTGGTGTCTTGGGGCTGGAGCGATAGCACAGTGGGTAGGGCATTTGCCTTATACGCAGCTGACCCGGGTTCGATTCCCAGCATCCCATATGGTCCCCTGAGCACCGCCAGGAGAAATTCCTGAGTGCAGAACCAGGAGTAACCCCTGTTCAATGCTGGGTGTGACCCAAAAATAAAAAACCAAATAGGGGGCTGGGGCTGGAGCGATAGCACAGCGGGTAGAGCGTTTGCCTTGCACGCAGCCAACATGGCCAAGCCAGGTTTGATTCCCAGCATCCCATATGGTCCCCTGAGCACCGCCAGGAGTAATTGCTGAGTGCATGAGCCAGGAGTAACCCCTGAGCACCGCCGGGTGTGACCCAAAAAGCAAAAACAAACAAACAAAAAACAAATAAAAAAAAAGAATTCGGTGTTTTATATTTGACATTTTGGTTCAAAGTTTTCCACACTTGCTTGGCCAGCCTGCGTCTTTTCATAACAACAACAAAATTGCTCAGCACTTCTGGGAAATTTACCTTCTTTAAGCAGGCAAACAGAAAGTCTACCCCCAGTAGCGCCATACTAGTACTGTGCCTCTCTCCAGTGCCCTCCAGGTGCAGCGCCCCCCTCTGGGGAAGGCCGGTTTACAGCCCTGGCTTTGCCGGAGCTTCTCCGAGTCCCACGGCCACCACCCCTCAGTGCCGCCTGTCCACTCGTTTGCATGTGAATGGGTGCACTCCATTTCTTCCCTGGGATGGTTCTAGTTGACTGCTTTAGTTGTTTATCAATAACTGAAGATAAACCCCAGGGGATGCTGCATTTCTGGGGTGGGACGCCCACTAGGGGGCTCCCCATCTCCATCTCTAAAGGTCTTCCAGACAGACTACGCACTGGTTTGAGAACACACAGGATCAGGAACCTTTGTATCCTGGAGATCAAAGACTTACAGGGATGCCATTGATGTCGCTCATCAAAGTGCAGCGGGTTTAATAACAACTGGAGTCCGGAGCCTTTTCTCTCAATAATGAAGGAATAAATGCTGCAGATCGCACACTAGGCTAGGCCAGACACGTCGGGGTGCTTTGAAATTCTTAGAAGAAGCGCAGAGGGCTGGTTTTGTTTAAAGAGTGGAGACTCCAGGAAGTTCTTGGGGGAAAATTAGGGATGTTGTCTCTTGGGTTTTGTTGGGTTATTTTTGTCCAGGTCAACAGATGCATACTTCTTGATTGATGTAGGATGAATTGAAAACATGCTTTGCAATAGACCACTGATCTGGAATTTCGTCCCTTTACTTTTTAGTGATCCCGAGCAGCTGAAGAAAGAGCTCAATGAACTAGTCAGTGCTATTGAAGAACACTTTTTCCAGCCACAGAAATACAACCTGCAGCCAAAGGCAGAGTGAAATATCCCGTCTTCTGGTGTAATGAAGTTCACATTAGCTGAACCTGATTCGTTCAAGCAATATGTTTAAGGACCAAATGATTTAAACGATTTCCACAAGTATTTATATTTTTAAAATAGACCTACATTGCTCATTGTTTGATCCTAAAGACAAATAAAATGATGGCTAAACTAACAAACATTTCTCTGAAAAAGTTGAGCCTGGGCACCATCCAAATGCAAAAATGAAGATTTAAAAAAATAACTAAGTTTAAATATGTAATGTATGTGAATTGATTAGGATGAGTCACAGGCATAGACTTTCTAATTCCTTTTATGCAGATATAGTAGTTGAAATAGAAAATCTGGATTACTAGATTATTGTGTAAGAGCACCCGCCTATAAGGCTTATGATTATATTTCTATTTTTCCTTTTCTTGTTTGGTTTTGGTTTTGGCCCACACTCAGCAATGCTCAGGGCTTATTCCTGGATCTGCATTCAAGGATCACTCCAGGCAAGGCTTGGGAGACCATATATGGTACCAGGAATTGAATCAGGTCAGCAACATGCAAGGCAAGTGCCTTAACCATTGTACTATCTCTGCAGATCCCAAGCTGTTTTTGATATGCTTTATATATCTATATCATTTTCTATTTTAAAAAGAAATTATTTTTGTGACCTAAATGGTTTTTTAAAACAGTTCCAAACAATGAAACTTGCAACGCTATTGAAATAGTTTTGTAAAAAAAGAAACATTTTCAGGTCTCATATTTAAGTCTATGGTGTTTTTTGTATTCTTCCAGTTATGTCATGCTATTAGCTAGATTTATTTATTTTTTTTTTCAGTGTTTCCTAGTCTCAGACTAATCTGGGGAAACCGTGAGAACCAAACACTTGCTCCAAAGGTCCTGAGCCCACACACTGGCCCCCGCACGTGTGTTTCCAGGACATCCCCTGGCCACTCAGATGATGTCCATCACTGGAAGTCACAATCTAACAAGATAGTTAATGAGTCTCTGCACCTGCAAATTTTGCAGCAGGGCCATGCACAAATACTCGGAGTTCAGGAGAGTGACGGATAGTGCATTCTGCCCCCCTAAAGGGAGCAGTGATGAGCCACTATACCTGCAGGGTGAGGGGCAGCTGATACTGGAGAGAGAGCTTGGCATTAACAGAGGTGTCGCAGCAGTGTGTGTGTGTGTGTGTGTGTTTGTGTTGGGGAAGAGATTAAAAAACAGCACCCATAGAACCCAGGACCAGAGAGATAATCCTCGAATAAATGCACCTGCCTTGCATATGGCAAACTCCAGTTTGAATCTATGGCACCACACATGGTCCCTCCAGCAGGGCCAGGGATCACTCCTGAGACGCAGAGTTAGGAAGGGCCCCTGAGCACTAGCAGGTGTGGCTCTCACTGCCCACACCCCTGCAATTAAAAAACCCTAAATGTAAACTTAGAGATCTCTACCCTAGCTTCTTCCTATTCGGAATTCTAGGAAGTAGTTTGCTACAGGTGCTTACTAAATATTTCCTGACCTCTCCTTACTAGGAAGGGATGCAAGGTAGCATGATATATGGTGCATAAAGCTTGCAGCATGCGGGCCCTGGACTCTAGAGGGTCTGGGGTGGCAGTTCAGCAGTGGAACATGTATTTTATATGTTCGAGTGTTAGGGAATTCTGTCCCTGGATTCCATCTCTGGCACTGAAAACAACTCGGGTCTGATTCTTGGTTTTCTACCAAATCAGCTCAGTGACCTTGGTCGAATCAGGTAGCTTCTCAGTCTCAGTTTTGTTGTTATTTTAAATAGGTTTTTTGTTTGTTTTATTGTTTCTGGGCTATTGTAGGTTCACAGGAAATTGAGGGGAAGGTATAGCTCTATCCCATTGCCCCCCCCACCCCTGCCCCATGGCCTTCTCTGTTGCCAACATTGCAATCAGCATGTGCACCTGTCTGGTGCCAGGGGAGTGCAGGGAGAGATTGATAAATGGACAAACACAGAATTTCTCGAGCAGTAAAAACTACCTCTTTGGGATGCTGTAGCACAGGAAGTATATATTGTGAGACACTTGTGCAAATCCATCAACTGTCCTGCCCTAGGAATGAATCCTAATATAATCAATAGACTTTGGGTGACTGCTTTGTCATTCTGAAATGAAGGGATTTCAAATGACATCATGGCCTCTGGAGATAGTTTATGCTTCGGGTCATTAGATTACATGGCAATTCATTGTGGGCCCCATCAACAGCGATAAATTATGGCAGCTGTCCTACGCAGAAGGCTCGCCCAAGCTCAGACCCAGAGCTGAGGGTCTGTGAGCGGAGAGGGGCAGCTGAACATTCCCCCACTGCTGAGCTTTGCAGCCTCACGGCTCCTGGAGACTGAACCTGGATGAGCCAAGTGAAACCACAGACCCGCAGATGGCAGGTGTGTGGTCTGCAAGGGAGTGAGGTGGTGAGCAGAGCTCGGTCCTGTTCTGCTCCATGCAGCATTCCATTAACGTTTAATGGAAGCCCTTTGGATCTGGTGCGCGGTTGTCTGTTTTTTCTTGGTGCCTTTCTATGAAATAGAAGGTGTACCTATCTCCTTTATGATATGCTGGGAGTGTCTCATTCACTTACTCAGTCATCATGTTATTGAGGAAAAGTTTTCTTTGATGACATCAGAAACTCGGGTTTGTTTGTTTGTTTGTTTTTTTAAATAAATGGCTTGACAAAACAAATGTGGATGTCTTAACTTTCGAAGGCATTTTGAAGGATGATATCTGAATGGGGTATGTGTGATTGCTACATCCTAACAACCAGAATACTCACAGCTACTGTACATTCATTCATTTCTTTCTCTTTTTTTCTTTTTTTTTTTTTTTTTTGGCTTTTTGATCACACTTGGTGATACTCAGGGGATACCCCTGGCTCTAGAATTACTACTAGCAGTGCTCAGGGGAGCATATGGGATGCCGGGAATCAAACCCAGGTTGGTTGCGTACAAGTATGCAGTCATTTCTATGTTCATCGATGGAGTCGTATTTGAGTCCTGGTATGAATCACGTCCTTTGCTGGGTACTGACTGTAAACACAGCCCTGATCTCAGCCTCACAGGAGACATGCACACATGCAGATGATCACCGTGAAGGGTTGGAGCTGGGCAGCAACCCCGTAATGGCCCCTTCAGACTTGTCCTCTTGTCATTGTTGTTCACACTGGCAGGACTCCAGGGCCACACCTGGCTAGTGAACCCTGAGCAATGCTGGGATTCTAACCGGGGTCATGGCCACAGCCACATGCTAAGCCAAAGCTTTAACCTTTCTATTCTCTCTTCCACCTCTCATCTTTTTTTAAGACAAAGTTTCAGATTTCCAAGCTTTGTTCAAAGCAGTGACTCTGGGAGGCTGTTTGCAGGCTAATGTTTCCCACGCCACCCCTTTATCCATTCTTGCTACGAGAATATTTGTCTAGGGGAGCTGGGGTTATAGCCCAGCGGGTAGAACGTTTGCCTTGCATGTGGCCAACCCAGGTTTGATTCCCAGCATCCCATATGGTCCCCCGAGCACTGCCAGGAGTAATGCCTGAGTGCAGAGCCAGGAGTAAGCCCTGAGCATTGCCAGGTGTGATCCAAAAAGTAATATATATATATATATATATATATATATATATATATATATATATATCACTGTCACTGTCCTCCCATTGTTCATCGATTTGCTCGAGCGGGCCCAGTAACATCTCCATTTTGAGACTTGTTGTTACTGTGTTTGGCATATCAAATACGTCATGGGGAGCTTGCCAGGCCCTGCCGTGCGGGCGAGATACTCTCGGTAGCTTGCCAGGCTCTCCGAGAGGGGCGGAGGAATCGAGCTCGGGTCAGCCATGTTGGCTGTGTGCCAGGCAAACGCCCTACACACTGTGCTATCGCTCCAGGTAGAAGGTGTCTGCTGCATAACCCAGACGTGCTGTGTATTCTGGAAGAGTCCTGTGGGCCCCACCCATCCTGTAGCTGGCCACAGAAACCACCATTCAAGTGATATTAAGGGCCAAGAGGCCCCCAATCCTCTGTCCTCATGCTCTTCCCCAGCCTTCCTCACTTCAGCCTCCCCTGCACCAGCCAAACATCTGCCCGGGCCCCTCAGTGGCTTCCCAGTGTCCCCTGGACCTGCTTTTTTTCTTTTAAAATAATCATGTGTGTAGGGGCTGGAGCGATAGCACAGTGGGAAGGGCATTTGCCTTGCACACAGCTGACCTGGGTTCGATTCCCAGCATCTCATATGGTCCCCTGAGCACCTCCAGGACTAATTCCTGAGTGCATGAACCAGGAGTAACCCCTGAATATCGCTGGCTGTGACCCAAAAAGCAAAAAAAAAAAAATTAAATAATTAAATAATCATGTGGGCGGTGGGGGCAGGATCAGAATTCAGGTCTCCTGCAGCAAGGCAAGGCAGGTGCTCTACCATTCAGCTATATCCTGGGTTCGTTTTGGAATCTAGAAAATTGTGAGGGGAGCACAATAACATAGCTCAGGGATCACTCCTGGCAGAGCTTGGGGGCTATATGGGCTGCTGAGGATTGAAGTATCCCGCTTATTTTCTTTGTATACTTTTAAAATTCCAGAGCCGTTGTACAACAGGTAGGACACTTGCCTTGCATGCAGCCCGGGTGTGATCCGCAGCATCCCCTGTGAACCGTTGAGAACCACCGGGGTAATGTGTGAGTGCAGAACCAGGAGTAACCCCTGAACATTTCTGGTCGTGGCCCTTGAAAATAAATAAAGTTCTAGTAAGGGTAGAGAGATAGTACAGTAGTGTGGCTGACCTGGGTTCAAGACCTGGCGCCCCAGAGGGGGTTGTTCATGTAGCACTTGAAATTGTGTCAGCTTTTTAAAATTTTTGCTTTGGGACCACGTTTGGCAGTGCTCAGGGGCTACTCCCAAAAGGGTGCTCAGGAGCTACTCCCAGTAGGGTGCTCAGGGGCCATGTGGTGTGGGGATCCCAGGCACAAAAGCATTTGCTCAGTCCTGGCTCACACCACACACATGCATTAAAGATGAACTCTTCTGGGCAGTGAGTAGGGCACTTGCTTTGCACATGGTCAACTCAGAATGGATCCCCTGCATGTCTCACATGGTTTGTGAGCCATTAGGAGTGATTCCTGAGCACAGAGCCAGGAAAAAGCCCTGAGCAATTCTGGGTGTGGCCTAAAAAAAAAA